AGCATCTAAGCAGCTTTGTGCTGGCGTAACCACGACGAGAGGCACGACTAGCCCGCCGTCAGAAATAGACGCATTATCATTGCAGATAGCGTCGCTTCAGCGCCAGATCGAGGAACTCACTTTAAACCGTAAGCACCGCAACCGGTCTGGATCATCGCGCCGTCGCACAAAACCTGATGCCTCAGGTTACTGCTTTTACCACTCGCGTTTCGGTACTAAAGCCCTTAAGTGCGTACAGCCGTGTAGCTACTCCGCTATACATGATTCGCCACGCCGGCCTGTAATGGCCACGAACGTCGGCAAAGCTCAGTCGTCTCATCTACATTAGGGATTATGACTCCGATACCTAGTTCTTAGTTGATACCGGGGCAGAAGTCAGCGTCATTCCACCTATGCCAGGTGAGCCTACCGCTTCTCTGTCGACAAGACTCAGTGCCGACAATGGCACGCCAATAGCCACCTACGGTCATCGGTCGCTTACACTGGACCTAGGTCTTCGGCGCACATTCCGCTGAGTATTCACTGTCGCTGCAGTCCTCTTTGCCATCATCGGCATTGAGTTTCTCAGGCATTTAGACCTCTTGGTCGATGCGAAACGCTAGATGATAGTCGACGCTGCAACAAAACTCAGTGTACGTGGCATCACCGCCGATGTCACATCTATATCCCCGGTCTATGCATTTCCCCAGGCCTCGCCAGACTACGCTTATCACTTTTCTCAGTATCCCAAGCTCGTTCAGCCAATGAACGCAGCTTTGCCCGTGGCAGCTCAAGTCACGCACCACATACGGACGAATGGCCCATCTGTGTCACGCCGTCAACGCCGACTATCGCCTGAGACACTAAAGGTAGCTAGGGCGGAGTTTGAGTACATGCTTGAACTTGGAATAATCCGCTCTTCCGACAGCCCTTGGTCCTCGCCCCTGCAGGTGATCCCCAAGAAATCTGGTGACTGGCGCCCTTGCGGTGATTACTGCGCACTCAGTCGGCTACCCGTCCCAGATAGGTGTCCCATCCCACACATGCAGGACCTTGCCGCACGCCTCACGGGTAAGACGATCTTCAGAAAGATCGATCTGGTTCGCGCCTATCAACAGATACCTGTGGAAGACAATGACATTCCTAAAACAGCCGTCATCACTCCTTTCGTTTTGTTAGAATTTTTAAGGATGCCCTTTGGACTGTGCAACGCCGCACAAACCTTCCAACGCTTCATCCACGATGTCACTCGTGGCCTAGACTTCGTCTATTCCTACCTCGATGATATTTTAGTAGCCAGTTCATCGGAACAAGAGCACTGTGAGCTTCTTCGAACTCTCTCTCAGCGCTTGACCCAACACGGTGTCACAGTCAACCCGACTAAGTTCGAACTCGGCAAATCAACGGTAGAATTCCTAGGCCACCTCGTTTCATCGTCTGGTATCGAAGTCTTTCCTGATAAGATCCCAGCAATCAAGGACTTCCCAGCTCCGACTTCATTCAAGCATCTCCGTCGATTTTGTGGTTTGGTGAACTACTATCGACGCTTCATTCCGCGGTGCGCTCAGCTCATGCAGCCAATGACTGACTTACTCAGAAAAATGAACGTAAGTTGGCTTTCCCTGACACAGCACAGCCAGCCTTCGCCGAGCTCAAGGATGCTATATCTCCAACACAGCCCTCCTCGCTAATTCCGAATCGACTGCACGCATTTCTATTACGACTGGTGCCTCAGATGTCGCGGTAGGAGCCGTCCTCCAACAACACGTTGGTGGGCACTGGCAACCCCAGGCGCCTGCAGCCAGCGGAATCCCGCTACAGCACGTTTGGCAGAGAACTGCTCGCCATTTACCTAGCGATACGTCACTTCCGGCACACACTTGAAGGCCGCGCTTTCACGGTCTACACTGACCACAAGCCCCTTATCTTTGTCTTCAACTCGGCTTGCGACAAATACTCATCACGGGAAACCAGACACTTAGACTTTGTCACGCAGTTTACTGCTGACATACGCCATGTCTCAGGTGTCGACAATCCCGTCGCTGACGCTTTCTCACGCGTCAACCTCACTCTCCAGTCTCTGCCTACCGTCGACCTTGCCGCCATGGCATCAGCTCAGGCTCAAGACGAAGATATACAGCGCACTCTGCAGTCCACTTCGCTGCATTTGCAACCTGTTCCTCTCCAAACCACGGAAGGAACCATTCTCTGTGACCCTTCCACAGGTTGTCCTAGATCCCTCGTACCTGTATCCTTCAGACGCAGTCTTTGACGCACTGCACTCACTATCACATCCAGATATCCGTGCAGCTTTGAAACTGGTCACCGAACGTTTCATTTGGCCACCCGTAAACAAAAATGTTCGTACCTGGGCTCGCGCCTGTATTCAATGCCAGCCCTCCAAAGTACATCATCACACCCGCAGTCCTCTTGGTTCATTGCCAGCCCCAGACTCTCGGTTCACGCATGTACACTTAGACCTAGTAGGTCCTTTGCCTCCTTCACGCGGATTCGTATACATTCTTACATGTGTCGACCGCTTCCTCAGATGGCCAAAAGCCATTCCCGTAACAGACTGCACAGCCGAGACTGTTATTCGGGCCTTCTTGGACCGGTGGGTTTCGCACCACGGATGCCCATCCACCATCACAACTGACAGAAGAACGCCTTTCGTATCTTCACAATTCGATACATTCTGCAACTTCTTAGGCTGTCGCCGCATTCATACCACAGCGTAACACCCAGCAGCCAACGGGTTAGTTGAACGCTTCCATAGACAGTTTAAAGCCTCGCTCTGCGCCTCCTCCGACCCTAGCTAGAGCGAAAACGTTTCGCTCGTACTCTTAGGTATTCGCAGCAGCATCAAAGCTGACTTGCAATGTGCACTAGCAGAGCTGGTTTACGGCACAACGCTCAAGTTACCAGGAGAATTTGTTTCACCTCCCGCATCGTCGGGTATGCCTCCGCCTAACTTTGCGTCCTCCCTAGCTCAACGTACGCGTCCACTAAGCCCGACTCCACCCCGTGAACAGACTAGAGATGTGCAAATGCACAGCGGACTCTGTACCTTCACTCACGTATTCCTCCGCACCGATGCCGTGCTGCGCCCCCTCCAGCCTCGCTACACGGACACTTCCAGAGTTCTGCAACGGACTCCGAAACATTTTATTTTAGACCAGAATGGTCACCGAACAACGGTGTCCATCGACCGCCCCAAAGTGGCTTTCTTTGATGAGCCACTTGCAACCCATCCTGATGCTCCGCACAAACACCCGCACCTGTGGTGACTTCCCGAGCACTGGATAGCCCGGAACCCTCCGTACCCCTTGACCCGCAACCTATCCCGCCTCTACCCCAGGCAACCGACCGACGCGGTAGACAGGTCAAACGTCCGACCTGTTTTGCAGATTTTGTAAACCTTTGCTATTTCGATTAACACGCCATTTTCGTCTTTAGTGGTGTTCGTGCGTCTTGTTCACTAACGTTTTGCAAACTCGACAAAAAGAACCCAAAACATTTCGAAAAGCTAAAAAGCGTGGTTGCTTTTATCATGCTTGTCATGTTCCTTCCCCGGCGTCAAGCCACTTCCCCGGCCCCTTCCCACCCCCTCTGAGTTTTACCTTCCAGAAACTCAACCGCCGGAACAGCCCAGACAACCCTCGAGTGACTCGCCAACCGGCTCAACGCAACCCCCGAGCGACTCGCCAGCCGACTCAATGCCCGCTTCCTCACCCAAAGAACAGACAGTCGCCCTCGACGCAGACACCCACGAACGGATTGGTCCCCAAACGCTGCCTAGGCATTGCCGATGAGGACGCCGGATTTCTTCGTGGGACGAGGATGCCATCATTTCTTCGTGGGACGGGGACGCCTGGATTTCTTCGTGGGACGAGGACCGTGGACTAAAGTGCGGTGGGGGGAGTGACACCTCCCAAGCGCACCGTCGGGTCTGCAGCAAAGGGAAGGTCCTGTCGGCCATTTTTATGGACTAGCCAGTTTTTTTGCAGTCCGACCAGCCCGCCCCGACGGCCCATCGATGATGCACTCTGGTCCACACGATCACCATAAATAATAACTAACCAAAGCCTGGACCCAGCGAAATCTGCTACACACCCCACCTTGGAAGCACTTTTACTCAAGCCCATGCAAATAATCGCATCCACCCCCACCTTCCGTTTTCCCCCACTAACAGATCCATCGAAGGCTTCCATCCTTCAGCCTTCTAGGAGGAGGCCGTTGTAGTGTACCGGAAAACAAGCTCTTTCTGTATTTTGTAACATTGGATTTTACGGTTGTTTTGACCTTCGAAACGTCCACTTGTTTTACTGACTGCACATCCGTTGACACAAACCGTTTTGGTGAGTACCTCGCTGCACGTTTCTCGCTCTGTCTGATTCGCTTCCTATTCTTGTAGCCTGCACAATCTACGTTGGGTTCACTCGCCTCCGACTTCTATACTGTCGTTTGACACGTCTTACGTGTCATTGCTTACCGACTAGTATCCCAGACTCCGCCCAACAATAGTCCGGCGGTCGTGTGCTAGTTCCAGTTCCTTGTCCATCGTTGGATCCCTCTCGAATGTCGCGGATAAGTGTCCTACGCTTTGCTCAAATATCTTAAGCGCTTTTGACGCTTACACTGTTCAGTTCAGTTAAATTGACAACGATCCGAGATTGGAGTTACATTGAGTCCGGTTGACATGATCCGCGGCACCAGATAAACAATGATCGATAAGAAAGGGAAGAAAAGAATGCAGGACATTAATGCTAAGAGAAGAGGGTGAGACAAAATGCAAGCAAATGCAAAAGACGGAAAGAAGTAGCAGGGTTGACTTCGCGACTAAGTTGTGTCAAACAAGATCCCTATTCAGTACCCAGGGGGCCGATACCGGGGCCCATGCACGTCGGCGCCGTATTCTAAATGCTAGTAGCAGCTTCATCAACAACAGCAGTACATCAGCAGTACTTTGAACTGACACTTCGCTGCCACAAACGACGCTTCAGTGTATAAATAATCGAACGCCTTGCACCTAAGCAATATATTGGTCGTTTAACGGAGGCCCTGGTGGAAGTGCACAAAAATAACTAACCAGAGCATGTGTGTATTTGATGGAAAAAGGGAGCACAGAGAAACAGACATTTGGAGAACCGACGCCGAAAATATCACAGAATGTGTAACAAATGACGAAAAGAATGCAGCAAGCAGGTAAAAGCCGCCGAAAGTAACGCAAATTATGAATGTCGACTGAGTTTACTGCGAGAAACATTAATTCTGATTGTGGTGACCTGCTCAAATAGTCACCAATGTTGTGCGAAGGTAGACATTGTCTAGACCCGGTAGCTGTGGGTGGTCCACCAACTGATATGATAGAAGCCTGGAATTGTATCCCTTACCTATAAAGTATTAAAAAAAATAGTGGACAAGTTAGAATAAGAAGACTGCAGCTGCAAATCTAGCATGCAACAGGTGATAACCTTGGAAAAAAGGAGAAAATGTCAGACGAAACATCTAAAATGTATGCTACTTGCTTGGTTGTGAGAAAAGGTGACTTATCAGATAGAAAGACGTGAGCAGCAAGTAACACAGCACATGCACGAAGTTGAAACACACGACAAACCAGCGTAAAACACAATAACTAAATATACATGTGTGGTATGTGAGACATCTTTAAGCAGGTGTTCATGCTGGCAGCAACAGGCAGAAGACGACCATGGAAAGTTGTAACAAAGCGACCAAATAGAGACATAAAGTTATGTGTGTTTCACTGCGCAATTAGTCAGCAGATATGGAGGTAGGATGGGTTTTTATAAAACATGCGTAGCGCGGTAGACTAGAACAGCGACGTAACACAATAAACAGAATAAGAAAGGCCAAAATAGAAGCTACAAACACGTAGTAAACCAAGACAAGATGCAAAGTTTAGCTGCAATTAAGAAACGCACTACGACCAATATCAGATGTTGTATCCGGTTGGGCGTTTAATAACCTTAAGTGTCTGATCTCGAAGTCCTCCAGGCAGACAAGTGACAAACGTACTCCGCTTTCATTCAGTTTCCTCGAACTCGCTTGCCAATCCCTGTACTGCATTAACGGATGGACACAAAGCATCTATAGCAAATATTTTTGCACATCGCACAGTTCGAAAATGGAAGAGAGTTACAACGGTTATGTCAACAGCAAGATATGCACCTATTTAATAAGCTCCGGGGACGTAGACACATGTTCCAGCGTAAATTTTGTATGTGGTCTACGTGTGGTATCAAAAGCAGCAGCAATATGTTTATACCATATATTGCAGGCTACGGGAGAGTTTGGTGCTCGACACAAGCCTACACATCTAGGTACCGAACAATGAGGTACCACAGTCCTGAAGACGATTGCGAGCCCGGTTGTAATAAACATACTCCAAATTAATTTGGGCGTTTGAGCATGAATTATGGGCGACAGGCAAAAACAATCGAACTCTGCAGTGGTACACATCCCCTCGGATGGCAGCCGAAAGCTAGAGGACTACGAAGGTAGATGCACCAGAACTCAAAAATAACCCAGCCCACTAATCGCGAAAGCCATCTGACCCATGTGATAAGGCCAAACTAGAGCAAAAATCGGCAGTTGCTAATACTCTCCTGAAAACAGGTGGTGGCTAAAAGCAAGAGGCACTGCGCCGAACACACTGAAAAGAACCAGCAACCTGTGTCCGAAGGAGCAATCACCCAGGAAAGAAAACCACAACCATAACAACAAGAGTGCATCAGCCATTTGAACTGATGCTTCGCTGCCATACAACCATGATGACCAACGAAATAAAGGATACTAATAGGGATAGAAGGGGGGACTTACCTGAAAACCTTAATGCCCTAAGCAAACATTCAGGGTCAAGGCGCCTACACCTTGTGTAGACAACATACTGTCACAAACAGCTGGCTATCGTGCAAAGATAAGGCGGCATCGGCGAAACAGCTTCCTTACGGCTTTCACTGCCTCGCGTCATAATCAACCATTACCCCGCAAATAACTCTGCACCAAACACACCTGAAACAGGCAATCCAATTAGGAGACCGCAGCAGACACGACACTGATGTCTACTGCGAGCCATGTCCTGTAAAGTCTCGAGCCAAGCACAGGGCGTCATGTGGACTCCAGCCCGGAAGACGAGATGGACCGACGGCACTCAGTTTAGTCGTCAGTAACTTCATTTCCTGCTACCATCAAGTTCTGCCCACCTCGAGCTTCGCGCCATCATACACCTGATAGATTAACTAAGGCCATCCTAGGTAAGCGGTGAACAGGCATACGTAGCACGTGCCCGAGCTAAAGCAACTTATTCAGTACTATACGTTGTTCTAGGGAGGCAACATGATTATCACCACCTAGCACTCGCCTACGCACAGCATCGTTGCGGACACATTGGTGCCATCCAACACCAGCAATGCTTCGCAGACAACGATGATCAAAAATATGAAGAGGCAAAGTCTCGCTAGCATAGAGCAGAATGGTCCTCAACTTGGCTTTATGTACACGGCCTTTCAGACGGAGGTAAATTCCCTTCTGTCGCCAAAGATTCCGCAGGTTCAAGAAGGTAGCTGTGGCCTTTACAATTGGTGAGTTGACGTCAGTTTCTATGTGCCCATCATTGCTGATGCAGCTGCCAAGATAAGTGAATTGATCAACCACCTCGAGTTCCTTGTTAGACAGGGACAGGGGGTTATAAAGTGGTGGTGGTCCGGCAACAACACGTTGGACTTTAAAGGTGCGAAGTGCATACCATATAATGGGACCACGCTAGACAGGCTATTCAGGGTTGATTGTGCCGCCGCAACATCACCGAAAAGTAAGACGATATTATCTGCAGAATCAAGATCAAGTAATCTTTCACCAGGCAGCATTTCAACGTTTACATCGTGAGATTCCGCATGGGAACACTTCATGATAGAATCCGCGACGAAATTGAACAAAAATGGGGAAATCGGATAACCCTGACGAACGCCACTTGTGGTTGGAGAGATATCCGATAGGCCACCGTAGACACTGATGCGGCCTGTAGTGTTCGAGTATAGAGCACGAAGGATGTTCAAATATTTCGTGGGAACACCTCTCCGCGCAAGTATTTCGCACAGAATGCACAGATCGATTAAATCAAACGCACTCTTGAAATCGTGGAACACAGCTATTGTCGGTCTGCGGTATGCGTGGCGCTGTTCTAGCACTGCCACAAAGTGAATATATGGTCTATACATCCCCGTCCTGGGCGGAAACCTGCCTGCTCTTCCCTAATCCGAGATTCCCGTTCCACAGTGAGGCGACGAACGAGAATCGAGGTCGGTAATTTTGTCACAACTAGTGATAGTACAGTCTGCGCGACAGCACTTCATGTATATTGCCACTATAATCGATTCGTTCTAATCAGCCGTTGCAACTAGATTGGACTGGATTGGATTGTGGTAGGATGGTTTGCGTACCTCTTTGACTCACTGAACTATACTGGGTGGTGCGTGAGGGCATCGGGAGAGATACTCCTACCAGGTTGGTCAATGGTGAGAGGTCAGACAAACACAGTTACCTGGTCCTCCAGGTTGGGGTTTGAAATGGGATGGCGCCCATTTCTTTAGAACTAAATCATTGCCACCTCCCCGCTGCCTTGCGGACAGGTTTTTGAGCCAAAGGCCTTGGTTGAGAACCCTAATCGTCCTCCTGTCTAGGTCTGGGAGCCCTGGTAGTATCTCAACCAGCATACAACCATGATTTCTGCTTCCAACATAAACTTCATCCTGCATCGGCACAAGAGTGATACACGATGACAGCTTCTCAGCTGAGATGCACGTAACAGTACTACAGTATTCCCAAAGCAAAAGGTACTTTTGCGCAAACTCAGACTGTGTAGCGATAACCAAGGTAGTTTCCGTTTAGAAAAATATCAGCTCCCAACTGTCATAGGTTAAATGGTGCAAAGCACCATAGGTTTAATGCCATCCTTGGTAATCAGCAATCAATGCTCGTGTCACGAGTTCTTGTATAGAAAAGGCATCAACAATACGCCGGCACAGTGTACAGATGCTTCGTTGCCGCGCGACCACCAACAATGGCGCGAGGACTGCGTATACTGCTCTGAAAGACCATCAATTTAAGTTAGTCACGCAGTACAACAGATTGGAATGCCTGTGAAACTTCCTCAGAGTGTCAGTCCTGAAACTCCTTTTCGATGCATCAAGTTAATGCTCCCGCCTTAGCACTATGCAAAAAAATGCCTTCACGATACCGACACATTTACACTACATGGTATAGCTCACGACTGGCAGATGATGGCATTAGTGCAGAGCAAACAATGGACGGTGTCACAGCCATGTTGAATTCCAAACAGGCATGCTCATACATGTGCTACCCCAAACCTCTTGCTGAGTCAGGTATCTCGTGCGTTCCTTTGCTGACAGTTCCTTACCTAGTAATTTCCACCTTAATCATCCCACGGGATTTAACAAGAATTTACTTTTAGACCCGTTATAAACGATTGTTCCATTGCCTACGCGGATTCGAACCGATAAATTCGGGAGTACAACACAGGTGCGAAACCCTTTCGGGCACAGGCCGACTCCTGGATGCAATATACCAGACTAAGGAGCGCAGCCGACCGAATGCTAGTTGCGTGCGACTAAGTAAAGATGTTGCAAACACATTCCTTCTTTAGTAGGCAAGAAACATTGGGGTAAGGCTCTATTACGTAACAAACACTTCGGTAAGGTAAATTCAAAACAATGATAGAACTCTGATTGAAAATCGCTTCATCAGTGGCATTTTATCCATCAAGGTCATGAAAGTTCAAGACTAAAGTGGTTGACTTCAAAGGGAATTTCGACGGCCAAAATAAAGTCATCGGAAAGACATGTAAACTGTAGGCAACAATACAGCAAAGGAAAAGTGGAGAACTGATGAGAAAAACGTGATTTTCGAAATAAGTTGTGGGTTAACTGTCCAAAATAGAAGATAATCTCACGTTGAAATGTGCTACAAAGATACAAAAAACGAGGGTTGGAGATTGCAGTGAATAAGTGATTGGCTCAGTGTTTGGCTCAGTGCCACAGTTCAACTCGAGGGTATACGTGCAGCAGAATAAGATGAATGTAACAATAAATTGCATTTGGAAATAGTCTGCGAGCATCTTCTGTGTGTAGAAGCTCAAAGAAATAGCCATGAACTGTGGAATGATGAAGTAAGGATGAGACGTTGACAACCGACCAGAAAGTAACCTCCATAAAAGGGCAAACTCACCGAAATATGTAACGGTCGAGGTTGATGCAAAAGAATACGGAATGAAATAAACGCGGTGTGAAGTTGCGCAAGAGGCAGGGTGACAAGCGAAAAATGCTCAAACTTTCGAGTGTTCGTCGTTTGCACTGAGAGTGCGATAATTAATCGTATACAAAGCCCAGATACGCTTGAAAGAAAACCCCAGGCAGCTCGATCATTGAAACATGGACACGAACTTCGGACGTCAAAACATTCGCCACAGGCATTCAATCGACCTTCACATGTCTTCATTACGCTACGCCATAATGCTCCACCGTGATGAAATCCCAACTGCGGACACTTAAAGCTCACAACACGTGAATGAACTGCGAGAAGCACGTATCGGAGAACGGCAGAAGCAGCCAATAAGTTTGCTGCGGCCCGACGATTGCACCGTTCTTTTGTGAAGCTGAATTCTTCCTCAATACTTTAATTCAACATGCTGTACCCAGGGGGTTCAAACTGGGTGCCTTTGTTCACCTGCCAATAGTTTTCCGAATGTTGCTGTGTTCAAAAAGAAAGCGAACTTTTACTACATCCGTATTGTTTATTGTGCAACATGTTAAGCACTGTGTCCGTCAATGTAGTCCCCTCTACTAACAATGCACCGTTTCCAACGGCGCTTCCACTTTTAGGCCTCCAAGGAACACATTTCCTAGGATGTCGCGCAGGTTTCATGTCACATTGTCCTAAATCCCCTCTATGGTTTCGAAACCACATCTTCTCAAGGTGGGAAACAAGGAAGAGACTGTTGAGGATAAGTCCGCAGAATACGGTGAATGGGACACAGTGGGAATTTGGTGTTTTGCTGGATCGCTACGAACTAGGAACGATGCGTGAGCTGGTGCATAGTCATTACGCAACATCCCAGTCTAGATTTCTCACACTTCAAGCCACTTAATATGCACAAAATCCAGCAAAAGCGATAGCACTATCCGTCTGACAATTTTGTTTATCAGCTGATCACGTGGCACAAATACAGGACGGATACAAACAAATGCACCTTGATCTCGGACCGACACAATAATGCGATTTTCGGAGGAGACCCTTTTCTCATCCACTACGAAGACTAGACCTTCGTGTTAATACCACAGCTTTAAAACCCAAGTCTCATGGCCTGTTATCATGTTCTTAAGGAAGTTCTTATTGTCACGGGCAGTGGCAAGCAGTCTCCGACTGAATTCAACCCGATTTTATTTCTGATCATCAGTCAACCGACGCGGCACGAATTCTGCACTAACGCGACGCATCTCAAGTTTGTCACCCAGAAGTTGACGTGATGATCTTATGCTGATGCCCACTTCGTCAACAACTTCCATAACAGTTAAAGGATGAGTTCCATGGATCATAGCACGAATTCGGCAGTCATGGTCTGATGACGGGGAAGGTCATCCAGGCTTGGGATCGTCACCAAGCGAGATACAGCAGGGGTTCAACACTTTTCAACCACTTATAGCATCACGTGCGACTCATACCGTCCTCTCCGTATGCTCGGCCAAGCAACTGAAATGTTTTCTCGAAATTTTTCCTAGTTTGTAGTAATATGTTACAACACGCACACGTTTTCTTTCAAGGTCTTTCATTGTTACTTTGATACTAACCCGAGGAGAAGCTCGTACACGTGCTCACTTCAGTGGTTGTAGCTCGCCCACTAACGGTCAAAGCAAAACGCGGCAAATGGCAGTTGGGTGTTTACACATTCTTCTAATTGCGCTCAGTAGATGCAGCGCGTTACCTCTTCCGGCTGGCTCGCTGATGCAAAAGCTCGTTTTCTTTTCGAACTCGACTTCAAATCGGGCACTCCCTCGCTCGCATTGCTGCCGGTTCGAACAGTCATTTATAGCTACCTTGGTATATCGTTATCAATATAACCGTAGTTGGACACAGGTACCAGTTGCTATCAAAATAAACATCCCTGGGCTAACGTTGTGACTACTGTTTACCCGTATAGTCGTTAGCACCTGGCAGTTACGTAAACCCCGGCTCATTACGCCTATGTAGCGTGTAGCTCCTTCACAGGTGACCTCGTCGATACGAGCCCAAGCTGGATTCACAAGGCGACGAGTATATCAAAAACGAACGCTTCTTGATGCATCGATTGTTACCAAACACAAGATGAATAGGAATAAGAGTGGGAAAACTGTGCACATGAGAAGGAAAAAAACGCACCGAACAAAGTGGCGTACTCTTCATCTGGAATGCGACATGGTGGACCATCGTGTATACCTTCTGGGTAGTTAACAGTTTCGAGCAGCCAGCGAGCGTCAGGTGTGATGAGAGTGCTCACGAACTCCACGTACCTAACAAGATATGTTATGGAGAAGAGAATACCAATGAAGGTCGCTAGTATTTTTGAATAAGCTGATGTGAGAAGAAACTGGTGCATACTTCATGGGAACGGATGAAATTCACCTGTCAGGTGACCTGCATGAACAAACATTCTGTAAAAATCACACTCGCTTCGAATGTAACCAGCTACTATCGCAGCACTTATCACCATACCAGTAAAATAAACGCGAGGTAATGATGATAGAAACGGAATCGGAGCATAAAACTAACTTTTTTTGCAGTGATGGGTCCACAGCAACCAAAGAGCCTCTATCCCAGATGTATTTGAATGGTCCCTCCGGAGATCTGTGAAAAGAAGGTGTAAGACAATGCGTATCTCGGACGGCAAATGAAACAAGAGCATCACAAACTCTGCACTTGACCACACTACGGGGTGCGGCTGAAGTCTGCTGGAATAGCTCAGTCATGAGCATAGTGATCATCTGGAGGAATAAAAGAGCTGAAAGGTTCAGCAGAAAAATTGCCAGAAAACGTAAAGCTAGCTGTCACGCCAAACCAGTTTTTAAAGGGAAGCTACAAATTAAGAATTGTTGCTCAGCTCAAATTCCGGAGAAACGATTTTTCCTGCAAGGTACGAGATGAAGTTTGCCGAAGGTTCGGTCGAAGTGTACATAAGGTTAGTACGATAAGGAAAATAGCACCGACAACTTCCTCAGCTCACGCTGCACTACTCCGGTGGATAAATGGTATGCAGGAACATCATCATCAACAGCAGTACATCAGCCATTTGAACTGATGCTTCGCTGGCATACAACTATGATGACCTATGAAATAAAGAATAATAAGAGGGAGAGAAGGGGGACTTACTTGAAAACCTTAATGCCCTAAGCAAACTTTCAGGGTCAAGACACCTACAGCTTGTGTAGACAACATACAGGAACAGTATATAGACAAACAAACAGCAGCGGAAACAACAACAACAACAACAACACAACAAACACTGCATGACCCAGAATTTTTCATGCTGCATATGCACACAAATTAGGTTGAATCAATTAGTACACACCTGTTAATGGGTGCTCGTGCTCGCCAGAACTGTATTTGGAATTCAAGTTATGTTCATAAACAAAGTAGCATTGTCCTCACCAAAGCACAGACAAGATAAAACCTCAGTCAAACAGGTCAAATAAATCTGCGACTGAAAGTTGGATTCAGCTCTTATCCTAACTGATATGCGTGACATGGAGAATTGTCCTATACTGAAATCCCCTTTGGGGATAAGTGGCGGAAAGCACATCGAGCTCAGTGTAATGGGGCAAAGAAACGGAGATCCAATGATAAGGAAATGAAGTGGGCATGTAGCAAAGAAACGGGTGAATTCATTAGCGACAATTGTTCGGAGCTTACTGGTCCATGATGAAAAGATCACAAAGATAAAGTCGGAGACGCTTGTCGGGGGTCTAAAATGAAAACGCACGATGAATAACGTCAACAGTTCCATTCTACAACATTTGGTTAAAACGGATCATCAAATTTGAATGAATGAGTCCCTTAAAGTTTTCCATACCATCCCAAAACGCTAACAAAGCTCAAGAAAAATCTATTGGTCATTGCCATTGCAATCTGAGTTTTGAAACCAGAACTGTGCAAACAATGGACTCTGATACAAGTATTGTTTGCATTGGCCATTAGCTCGCTCTAACCATAAGTGTCCAGCTTTGGTCACGTGTGTTTGCACGTGCTGCTTGGTCTAATTAAACAGACCACTGATGGCAATTTCCTGCTGCTTGGCCAACCAGCTGAACACACGTATTGCTACTACTAAATTCATTTATTCAACCCTGAGAATGCTTGCACAAGCTTAGTTGAGTCATAATTATGCTTTATAATTGTACATGCCTAAGTAATTTATCGAAACGAATATTCGTCACACAATTGTTAAAATAAAAAGCAGAGTTGATGGGGTGCGGATAAAAGGAACGAGGCGCGCCGCGTCAAGTAAAACCCACATGAAACATGGAAATGCGTTCGCCATTCTTGAAGGGGATTTCCGTTCGTTTCATGGCCAAATCTGGGTATTCAGTCACAAAAGCCAAGAGAGCAGTCTCTGACAGATCACATCCGACAATACTGAAGCCTTTTTCACAGTACAGCCAGCGTAGATCAATTGACTTCCCACACAATGGGACGAAAATTAATTTTTCGGAAGGGTTGCCGGTGTAGAATTTGTCCCAATATTGGACCAGTTGCCTACGGAGAGGTAAAATGCTGTAGTAACGCAAAATCGATGGACGCAAAAATACTTGGATCAACCACATTTGTCTGCATGCGCAACAGTATGAGCCAGAAGTAAACAAGGTACCGGTAAGGATCCGTTCAATCGGTTTACTTTTATATGACAAAGAAGAACACCGACTACGAGCTTCGAGTGGGAGACATACTGATCCCAGAAGTTGTATAACTGTCTGGACCGTTTGAGCTACAGATCCCAGCACTAAGACCTCACATGTTGCTTCACGAGAACACTTAGAGGGAGGTCTGACAGGCTGATAGAGGTGAACAAAGCAAACATTCTCATTTTAATGAAGTGCCATGAACATTCTGGATAAACCTGATCTAGCAATTCACCGCTTAAACATAAGAAAACCGTAATGCCGGATTGTGTCACGTGTAAGAGACCATATGGAAGTGCAATCCAGTTTATCTCCTGAATGTGAGCATGATGCAAAGAATAGTAAAATCAAGAACCGTATATCATTTGACAACTATGTATCTGAAACAGTACGGTACGAACTAGTATCCAGCCTATTAAGCTAGCCATTCCATCGATGTCGGTAGTGACCGTCCCAGGGTTTCCTGCTTTTCGTTTTGCTCCCAAATGATACAATAATATGAATGGTTCAGTATTGTGGATAAAACTACTGCGGTAGTGGAAGTAATGGCATCTACCCGGAGCATAGCTACTGTCATCAATGCTATTGCCATAACTTCAAGGGCACCACCATTATTACGCAATGAAGATGTCACATTGATTGGTGACGAAATCTCTGCAGTTGAATTGATTAGCTAGGCGGGCAAATCAAAACCCCACCGTGTTACTATAACTTGATAAACGGATAAAGGGAACGGTGTCAACGCCAGATATGAGCGATTGGGAGACAGCATGTATATATTGATATGACCCTTGTGGGATTAGCCTCTTGCACAAACGAGATAATACCGTTGCTTAGTGTAACCTAGAAATATGAAAAAAGGTAGAACAATGTCGATCGTTAACTAACCTGACAAGAAAGAGAACGCTACACGAAAGAAATTTGGAATTAGAAACAATTCAGCTGGATGATTGGTGGCAGCGATAAATCAAGAGAGAAGAGACGGTAATATCTATATTCTACGGAGATGGACAAAGACTGGTCAAGATGTCACCATCATTATACACGTTGGATAGAGGTGGGAAACGCCTCAGCCTCAAGAGGTGAAACCGCTTGGTTTTTTTTTGGAGACGAAGTGTGCCTTACAACAGGTCATAGTATATGAATAGCATAACTTCCCATGCACACTGTAGTAGCTTGACTGTAGTAAAACGGAGAAAACTGACGACGATCTTCTATGTTCGAATGCAACAATTTGGCACAAGGACTTAGTTTGGTTTGCTTTACTATGATCCGTGCGACGGATCCAGTAGTCTTGACGCACGCTACCATAATAATACTTAATTAAAGGAGAGGTATAGCAATTTAAATGGTCTGATTAAATAGTTACTAGTCCCAAATAAGACAACGAGTCCAACAACCATATTGAGTTCGTCGCAGCGCCCTATATCAAATCGCACCTAACCGCACTATTCAGGAAGACGATAGGCAATAATGTGACTGAGTGCATTGGTAAGTAGCCTCATGCGTTACCCCTATGTCACTGACTGACCATCTCAGAGTTTCACCCAACTAGGCGCAATATGGGTAAACGATACACACCAAAGTAATCATTCTGCAAGCATGCAGAGCAGGCATTGCTAGTTCAATAGGCACTCCTGGCCAATTCGCGTGGAAGATATGCATCGTCTTTCTGTCTTCGGCAACGGTTGTTTAAGGAGGATCGCACGTGTATGGTGGCAGAATCGAGTTCGCAGTGAGGACGTTCGACGTCGCGTCTCGGGGAATGCAAGTATTCCCTTCAACAAACTGGTTTTGCTGCGCCAGTTGAGATGGCTTGGTCACATCCTATGTATGGCACCTAAGCGTCTACCGTGCCGAGCCGCGCTCCATTTGCTCGTCAAGGACCTGGATGGAAACTAGCGCGTGGTTGTCAATCTTTTACTTGGCTACAGCACATGAAATGGCTGCCGTTGGACCCGTGCGCCTTCCAGGATGGGGACCCAAGATTGAGGAGTGCCAATGGCCTAACACGCATGAAGACATGGCCCACAACTGGAATGAGTGGAAGAATTGTGTACAGAATTGTATTAATTAACATGTTTAGTGCCTCAAGCATTGAAAAATGACAAGAGAGAGAAATCAGCGTGTGAAAAACAAAGTGTAACGTTTCGTACTACTTTGTGTCAAATTGTACGTTCCATTGATCTATGTGCATACTTGCTTAGATTCACAAGCTTAATGCTTAATAATTACACATATTAAAAACATGGCAAGTGCAAAAATAAAAGTATTCCTTTCTTCCTGCGTCACAGTAGTTAAAGTGTGCTGCTAACCTTCACTTACAGTGCCATGATGATTATGACGCGGTGAAACTACCCCTTATTCGTTAATCTCCGTGGATTTTATTGGTTCTATGGCTATTTAAAAGATTGTCACTACTACTACTACTACTACTACTACTACTACTACTACTACTACTACTACTACTACTACTACTACTACTACTACTACTACTACTACTACTACTACTACTACTACTACTACTACTACTACTACTACTACTACTACTACTACTACTACTACTACTACTACTACTACTACTACTACTACTACTACTACTACTACTACTACTACTACTACTACTACTACTACTACTACTACTACTACTACTACTACTACTACTACTACTACTACTACTACTACTACTACTACTACTACTACTACTACTACTACTACTACTACTACTACTACTACTACTACTACTACTACTACTACTACTACTACTACTACTACTACTACTACTACTACTACTACTACTACTACTACTACTACTACTACTACTACTACTACTACTACTACTACTACTACTACTACTACTACTACTACTACTACTACTACTACTACTACTACTACTACTACTACTACTACTACTACTACTACTACTACTACTACTACTACTACTACTACTACTACTACTACTACTACTACTACTACTACTACTACTACTACTACTACTACTACTACTACTACTACTACTACTACTACTACTACTACTACTACTACTACTACTACTACTACTACTACTACTACTACTACTACTACTACTACTACTACTACTACTACTACTACTACTACTACTACTACTACTACTACTACTACTACTACTACTACTACTACTACTACTACTACTACTACTACTACTACTACTACTACTACTACTACTACTACTACTACTACTACTACTACTACTACTACTACTACTACTACTACTACTACTACTACTACTACTACTACTACTACTACTACTACTACTACTACTACTACTACTACTACTACTACTACTACTACTACTACTACTACTACTACTACTACTACTACTACTACTACTACTACTACTACTACTACTACTACTACTACTACTACTACTACTACTACTACTACTACTACTACTACTACTACTACTACTACTACTACTACTACTACTACTACTACTACTACTACTACTACTACTACTACTACTACTACTACTACTACTACTACTACTACTACTACTACTACTACTACTACTACTACTACTACTACTACTACTACTACTACTACTACTACTACTACTACTACTACTACTACTACTACTACTACTACTACTACTACTACTACTACTACTACTACTACTACTACTACTACTACTACTACTACTACTACTACTACTACTACTACTGCTACTGCTACTACTACTACTACTACTACTACTACTACTACTACTACTACTACTACTACTACTACTGCTACTACTACTACTACTACATTCGGTTCTCTCACCACATATTAGCAAACTTCGGGGGGCCGCGACGGTCACGCAAAGTTAGTCTTTTAACTCCCTCGGTACGTGGTGGCTAGGCCCCAAATCGACAGGAAAACGTTGGTCGCACTACAACAAGGCAGTCCATTCGCGCCGTCTTCGCGAGCGACCGAATTTTAGCCCCTTGTGCCGCAATTCAGTCGGTGATATAACCGACGGTGATAATAGCGCCAATAGAGCCAGACTGATTGACCAGTACGAGGTATAAATCAACGATGGTGGGAGCCGGAGGTAGGTCAACCAGGCCGCAAAGCAGGGACTTGTTTTCAAATATGCGAAGTATTTGCAAAAATGTACAATTCTACGAGTCAAGCTACTCAGTGACACCCGCAAGTAGCGGGGTTTGATATGGAAAGGCGGGCCAAAACGGTAAAACGAGGGACGTGGTTAGATTCCCATTAATTCAAAGTCTAACGGAACATAAGCAGCTGTTCATTGAAATCCAGCCTAGAATAGCAGTCTCCGTATGTCCATCAGAGTGGAGTTAAAGTCACGAGCGCCATGGGTCAGTTATCTCGCGTCACTGGAAATGGGAAGCGTATGAATCCTCTCGCTGGAGCCCGGTCTTGCTCAGACCAACAAACGTACCTCCCTGTACTCCTGTATGCGTGTGTACTAAACAGTAAAGTTCTAATGGATATAGCTTACTGAACATAATCATAAACAACAGCAGTACATCAGCCATTTGAACTGATGCTTCGCTGACGTATAAGCACAGTGACCTACGAAACGAAGAACCATATGAAGGACGGAAGAGTGAACTAAGGTAAAACCTTAATGCCTTAAATAAACACTAGCGGTCAAGATGCCTACACCTTGTCAAGAACACACCATCATAAACAGCTGGCTAGTAAGCAAAGATAAAGTAGTATCGGGAAGACAGCTTCCTTGCGGCTTTCACTGCCCCAAGTCATAATTAGCTATTACCCCACAGATAACTCAACGCCAGACACTTTGGATAAACAATCCGACTAGAAGACGAGAGCAGACACGCAACGCGTCGAATGCGAGCCATTTCTGTAAAGTTTCGAGCCAAGCACAAGGCGGGTCACGTGGACTCCAGCATGGAAGGCGAGACGGATTGATGGCACCGAGTTGAATCGTCAGTGACTTGATTTCCCGTTGCGCACCTGGGGCCTTGCGCCAACCTACATCTGGTACACAAAACAACGTCCTCCTCGGTAAACGGTGACAAGGCATACATAGTAAGTGCGCAAGCCAATGCAACCTGTTCAGTGCTATATGTTGTTCTAAGGAAATAGCCGGGTTAT